TGAACAACATTCAGATTTTAGTCAGATTTTGAATGGCAAACAGACAAATGAGCAATAAAGAGATTTAGGGAACAGAGCATATGCACACAGATATGTATAGTGATTCGGCTTAGATCAAGCCTACGTCCACTCTCCCACACTAACAGTTTACTAGCTGGATTCCACTAGCTGATCGATCAAGAGATTACAAGTTATGAGTAATATTCAGAAGGATCACTCTATCTCTCTTATAACCAGTCTCTCAAGATCACAGATTTAAGCTCGAGAAAGACAAGTAAAGAACTTGTCAGAGTTTGCTCAGACTTTGAAATGGATAATTCTGGATTCGTCTATCTACTACTGCTCTTCGACGATTTGTCTCCTTTTATACTCCTCCACTTTCAAACTAGCCGCTGGACAGTCTTTAGAGGATCATCTTCCAATCTTCATCTTGGATAGATTTGTATATAAAGGATTGAGTAGCCGTTGAGTGATAAAATCAGAATCTCGCTAAATCCGGTTGCCAATATAACCAGAGATTTGGTTTTCACAAGTAGAGCTTCTCCATTTAGAAATAAACTTGTCGTGAGATTTGATTGTCAATCAACTTAGGATATCTTGCTATATAAATATTCCTTGCAAAATAGCCTTTTAAGATCGAATCAATCAATTCTTTTTATTAGTGAAATCCAAGCCAGATTACTAGTCGTTGTTTACGTTCTGAGTAAGCGATAACGTCTGGATAAGGTCTTTGCGCTCAGAACTTGAAGTCAGAGTAGTTTGTTGGTAAATTCTGAATATATTGATTACAATATATAAACTGCGGTACTTCTACTTCTTTGCACAAAGTCTGAACTTTGTCTTCTGCAATGCAGAACCTGGATTACTTCTTCTGATAAACTTAAAGTCTGGACTTTCAGAATATAACTGTTTGGACTTAGAATACTTCAAAAGCATTACTTCAAAGTATATATCAGACTTTACTCATGGATAGTTTTGTCATCATCAAAATCTATTAGGAAGTTTTCTTAACAATCTGCACTGATAAGAGCATCAACTTAACATGTCAGGATACCACTTGGGTAGTTGATTCCAGAGCCTTCTTTCATGTAGCTCCCAAGAGAGAATTTTTCTCTTCATATACAGCTGGAGATTTCGGTCTCGTGAGAAAGGATAATGATGGCTCGTCAAAGATTGTTGGCATAGGAAGTGTTGAGATCGAGACTAACAATGGATGCAAGCTGATCTTGAAAGAGTTAAGGCATGTCCCTGATATTCACCTTAATCTGATCTCCATAGGAAAGCTAGATGATGATGGTTATGTGAGTCACTTCGGCAAAGGGAAGTGGAAGTTAACCAAGGGTAACTTGGTGGTAGCAAGAGGAGTGAAAAATATATCACTCTATACCATACAAGTGAAGTTATGCGGCAGAGATGTTAATGCATTGAGAGAGGTATCTATCGAGCTTTGGCATAAAAGACTTGGACATATTAGTGAGAATGGAATGAAGTTTCTCACATTGAAGAATTTACTCCCGGACATAAAAGGTACCTCTATAAATCCTTGTGAAGACTGTATTGGTAGGAAAAAATAATAGAGTTGCCTTTAAATCAATTTCACCATTGAAAAAAGCCAATCGACTTGATTTGTTACATACCGATGTTTATGCTATGACTTTGAGAACTGCTGATGGTGCTTTCTATTATGTTACCTTCATAGATGATTTTTCAAGGAAGGTGTGGGCTACTGCATTGAAGACAAAGGATTAAGTTCTTGATACCTTCAAGGGTTTGCATGCGAAACTAGAAAGGGAGACCGGCAGAAAATTGAAGTGTGTGAGGGCTAACAATGGCGGGAATACCGAGGGCCATTTGAGGATTACTGTAGAGTTAATGGCATAAAGCTCGAGAAAATAGTGCATAAGACACCAACACAACGGTGTTGCCGAGAGGATGAATTGAACAATATGTGAGAGGATAAGGTGTATGCTCTCCCATGCGAAGTTGTCAAACTCTTTTTCGGGGGAGGCAATGAGGACGGTGGTAGATTTGATAAATTTGTCACCTTCGATTCCACTCAAAGGTGAGACACCACAAAGTGTATAGAATGGTAAGAAGTCATCTTACAGTCACTTGAGAGTGTTTGGTTGTAGGGCATTCTCACACATACCAAGAGATGAACGAGCCAAGCTAGATGGAAAGGCCAAGGAGTGCATATTCTTGGGATATGCTCACGAGGATTTGGCTATAGATTGTGGGATCCCGAAAGTAAGAAGGCGTTTCGAAGCCGAGATGTGGTATTCTTTGAAGATCAAACTATCAAAGACCTCAAGAAGTACGAAGAACCTCAAAGTGTGGAGGAAGAGTTAGTTGACTTGGAGCCTATAGACTCATCAAAATTCTGTTGGTGCAGAAACACAAAAAGAGGTTGAGAATGATTCGACTGAGCAAGCACAAACCGAGACAGCAGCCAATGATGAGGCTGCCGAAGGAGTTGAGGCCAAGATTAGTAATGAAGATGGTGGAGATGCTGGAGCGGAAGCTCAAGAAGAAGGAGAAGCAGAAGAAGCAGAAGTTGATGATGAGGTTGAGGAGGAAACGATTGATGTTGATGATGTTCCTTAAGAGCAGCCAAGGAGATCAACGAGAGAAAGGCAACCTAACATAAAATACTCGCTAAAGTATGTGTTTCTCACTGATGGGGGAGAACCCGAGAATTTACAAGAAGTGGGAATTGATATCCACAAGAAGGAATGGATGAAAGCAATGCAATAAGAGATGCAATCCCTGCATGATAATCACACCTATGCTTTGGTGAAGCTACCAAAAGGCCAAAAAACACTCAAGAACAAATGGGTGTTTAGGTTAAAGGCTACAAAAAACAGCCCCAAACCACGTTACGAAGCAAGATTGGTGATGAAGGGTTTCGTTAGCAAAAGGCAGTTAATTAGGAGGAGATTTTCTCTCCTGTTGTAAAGATGCCATCCATTCGAGTTGTTCTTGGTTTGGCCGCAACCTTGAACTTGGAGGTCGAGCAACTCGACGTAAAAATAGCATTCTTACATGGCAATCTTGATGATGAGATATATATGGAGCAACTCGAAGATTTTGTGACCAAAGGGAAAGAAAATCTTGTATGCAAGTCGAAGAAGAGTCTCTATGAGCTCAAACAAGCTCCAAGGCAATGGTACAAGAAATTTGATTCATTCATGGAGAGGAATGAATACAAGAAGACAACGGGAGATCATTGCGTGTTCATCACAAAGTTCCATGACAGTGATTTTCTGATTTTTTTATTATTATTATATGTTGATGATATGCTAATTGTGGGTAATGATATCAAAAAAATCATGAAGCTCAAGGAGGAGTTGAGCAAGGAATTTTCCATGAAGGACCTTGGACAAGCAAAGCAAATACTTGGGATGAGGATACTGCGCGATAAAGCTTGTGAAAAGTTGTGATTATCCCAAGAGAGATATGTAGAGAAAGTTGTGCAAAGATTCAACATGAGCTACGCCAGAGCAGTCAGCTCGCCTTTGGCTAATTATTTTCAGCTTAACACGAGGCAGTTTCCCTCAAGTGAAAAGGAGAATGGAAAGATGCTAAAGATTCCTTATGCCTTTGCCGTTGGAAGTCTCATGTATGCGATGATGTGTACACGACCGGTTATTGGGTATGCTATTGGAATTGTTAGCCGATACATGTCAAACCCCGGCAAACAACATTGGGAGGCTATCAAGTGGATACTTAGGTATCTTAAATGGACATTTAGTTTGTGTTTGTATTTTGGTGATGGAAAACCGATGCTCGAAGGGTTCACCAATGCAGACATAGCAGGAGATGTAGATTACAAGCGATCTACGTCATGTTATTTGATGATTTTTGCAGGTGGAGCTGTCTCTTGGCAATCAAGATTGCAAAAGTGCTTTGCATTATCCACAACGAAGGTTGAGTACATAGCCACCACCGAAGCTAGCAAAGAGATTTGTGAATGAAGAGATTTCTACAAGAGTTGGGGCACAAGCAAGATGAGTATGTTGTGCATTGCGATAGCCAAAACGCCATTCATCTCAGTAAAAATTTCACATTTCATTCGAGGATGCAGCATATTGATATTAGGTATCATTGGATACGAGAAATGTTGGAAGAGAAGCAATTAAAGCTCCAGAAGATCCACGCGAACAAAAATGGTGCTAATATGTTGACAAAGTCTCTACCTACAGAGAAACTAAAATTCTGTAGGAAGGAGGCTGGCTTATCGAAGTGATAAGGAAGTTTAAGACCCTCCATGATGGGCTGGGGGTAGATTTGTTGGGAGCAACCCAATATGTTCGGAGTCGATTTGAAATATCGCGAAGATTGCTCATCAAGAATACCTAAAGAAAGGAGTCCTATTATGGTAGAACGCTGAAAAGGAAAAAAATCTAAATAAGAAGTCTTATTTAGAAAGAATATCAGGATGGAATCAATTCTAGTGATTGTCCAATTAGAGGAATTCCAATCAATTGGGGAGATTTCTAATTGGGAGGTGATTGTCAATCAATTAGGGAGGATTACTAACTTGGGTGGAGATCTACCGCTATAAACAGAAGGGCTTGGTTGGAGGTTTTTTTTTGTGTACACCAGAAAATACTCTAGAGATATCACAAGAGCCTTCAATAATGTGTGTAAATACGAGAGATCTTGAGAGTTCATCAAGTGAGGATGTGTTTTGTGACAATCGTGAGGATTTATTACGAGAGAAACACCATTAGAGTGTTAATTGTAATCCTTTGATTATACTGGAGCAATTCCTAGATCAGCGTCCCGTGGTTTTTCCCATATTGGGTTTTCTACGTAAAATCTTCCGGTGTATCGTTCTTCTTTTATTGTGCTAATTACGTTGTTCTGCAAAGAGAATATATGGCTGACAATTAAAATTCCGCTGCGATCGATTGCAATCTGACTTAATTTACAACACTTTTCAATTTTTCTCCAATACAAGAAGCTATATATTCAACATAAAATAAAATTCGATCGCCATGAATATTGTTTGTAATAACATAATCAGCCACCACACAAAGCACGGAATAGCATGTTCTTCGATATCTTAGAGCTCACAAATCCAGCTCGAAAGCTAAGAAAGACAAATAAGATCAAAGGCTCTCTCCGAAAGCAAGACCTTGGTCATTCATGCATGCCTAATCGAGGGGCACAGGTTCGTATATAGCCGACACAAGATGGTCCTTGGTTTCCTGACTGGGAAGGCCGAATCCGTCTCCATATTGGTAAAAAATATGAGAAACTCGTGCCAGGTTGAAACAGGCACCGAGAAAACGCTCAAACCGGGGAACCGAGTAGTCCTCAAACACGACTCTATTATTCATCCTCTTCCAGGTCTCACGCACCATATGCCTGATGTGTTCCCGCGCGGCCACTTCTGAAGTGCCGGTTTCATTCATGTAGCATTCAAGCGCCTTAAAGTTGTCACCTCGTGCCAATTCATGCTAAGCAGGACAATATTGATGGATTACAAACATAAGTCCAAATACTCATCTCACATTCGTATCGAAGATATAAGAAAGAATAGCTTGTCACTATGAATATACCAATGATGTACTCTTTTTTTTTTATAAGCCACTATTTACAAGGAGAAGAATAATATAAAAATAAGTTACCGATGATGTACTGAGATCATTGTTGAGTCGAAGGATCTTGGCAGAGCAATGCACGACATTGGGCATTTTCGACACGTAATCAAGTCCCTCGTCCGTCAATTTATCCGTGGTTAGGAAGTAACTGGTCAACAGCATAACCAGCCCTCCGGCTGAATTCACCGCAACGTCCACGTACTCCTTCAGTGTCGGTTTAGTGCCCTTGTTGTACCAATGGACCTCCTTTATGTACGCCTTGCATTCATTGGCCCACTATAGGATTTGAATTCGAAGAGTGGGTCAATGACCAAGTCGAGGGACGTTCTTTTCTCCTACTTTTACGGATTCTCAAATGTTTAAATAGAAATCATAATGAAAGTTAGAAGTGGAAAAAGGGAAAATTGTCCAAAAACTTTTAAACCTATTATACGACGGCCAATTTAGTCTTAACTCATTCGATTGTGCCAATTTAGTCATAAACATTTTTACAATTTGCCAATTTAGTCATAAACCTTTCAACTATGCCAACTTAGTCATAAACCTTTTGACGATTTATTAATTTAGTCCTTCGGGTCAATTTTGACCGGAAATCATTGACGTGGAGGTCTAGTCAAGGCCAATCATCCTACGTGAAATAACCAGTGTTGGACGTGGACAATTTTTGTAATTTTTTGAAATTTGAAAAAATTTTCTAGGTCAACGTCGGCCGTCCGCTGGCCGTGTCATGTAGGACAACCAGCGTTCTTGTCAACAATTTTCAGCTAAAATTGGCCGAAAGGACTGAATTGGCAAATCGTCAAAAGATTTAGAAATAAATTGACAAATCTTCAAAAGGTTTTAGACTAAATTGACACAATTGAAAGGTTTGGGACTAAATTGGCAAATTGCCAAAAGGTTTATGACTAAATTGGCACAATTGAAAGGTTTATGACTGAATTGGCCGCTGTACAATAGGTTTAGGACTTTTTAGACAATTATCCCATAGAAAAATGAATTGCCCTACACGGGCTAGAAATTATTAGGTGAACGATTTATCAAGTCGAGATTACCACTTTCCGCAGGTAAGGGATGGGGTTGATTCCTTGCTCTCTCATCGTCCAATACCCAATTTCGTTGGTGGTGTTGTACAAGAGCATGAAACTATCTCTTATTATTGGAGGAAGTTTATCGATGTCTGTGATGTCCCACCTAGATAAGTTATCACAATTTCAGCAATCTTATGAATTTTACAGTCACTGAATACGCTTTTTAGCAATAATAATGAAAGTTAGTGCCTACCGTTACGTTATTAGCCCAAACCAATCAATTACATAAAAGAAAAAAAGCTAACATAAACCATGATAGGTCCAAAACACATTGAAGAATTTATTTTATAATATATAGTATTTACTATTTTTTCCATAGCGTTCATAGACTAATTAATTCCGTCTTTTTTCTTGGCAATAATAGTTACAAGGGAAAATGATGATGGTTCTAATACTACGCAGACCTGACAATGAAATCTGTTAAGAGCTCAAGCTCTTCCGGCATCCCATATACGTCATAAACATCATCGATAAGTGTCACCATACAAGCGATCTTCGCATTCATTTCTCTGAAAGCTGTATATTGAGGTTCGAAAACCATTAGAATGCTCCAGAAATAGCATTCCACTAGCCTGTCCCTAAAGAAGGTCGTGTTGGTCGCCCCAAGTTCATCCCACCACCTGAAAAATTTGTCATGTGATGACTAAGTCAATCAAAATGCGCTCCTACCTTGCCAGATTGCATCTGTGAACTATAGAGTGCTTGTGTATACCTTGCCACATTGCTAAGTTCCTTCCTGTAGATTGACTGCACTAAATTGAAGTCTAATTTAGGCTCCGTTCGTTTGGCGGAAAATATTCTCCTTTTGAAAAATATTTTCTCGGAAGTCATTTTCCTGGAAAATGTTTTCCCGGAACATAATTTTCCGGTGTTCGGCGACCAATATGAAAAAGTTTTGGAAAATATTTTTCACCGGCGGTGGCCGGCGACCGGCGGCGGCGGCAGCGACCGGGCGGTGGCCGGCGACCGGCGGCGGCGGCAGCGACCGGCGGCGGGGGGCGGCGACCGGCGGCGGCGGCGGGCGACTGGCGGCGGCGCGGCGGCGGCCGGGCGACCGCGGCGGCAAGGTGGCCGGCGACCTTAGTGAAGAAGAAGAAGAAGAAGCTCCGGAAAATGATTTCTGCTTTTGAAGAAGCGGAAGTCATTTTCCATAAACTTAGGCTATTTTGTGAGGGGGGGAAGGAAAATATTTTCCCACGGAAAACGTTTTTCGCCCCCCGAACACCGGAAAACCGGGAAAATATTTTCCGGGAGAATATTTTCCGCCAAACGAACGGAGCCTTAGTCAATCGTAGCAAAGATGGCATCATGTCTTGTTGTTTCTCGTACATGTCAATGAACCACCGAGCCTCCACCCTATTTGGCCTCCAGTGGATCGGCATATCCAATGCATGACTCACGTTACTCGCTGAATTGGTGGGAACTTTGTCGAGGTTTAGATCCTTCAGATGCTTAGAAGCAAAGTTCCAAGCTTCATCAAGTATGGTTTCACCTTCCAATCCATGGACAGAAGCTTCATAAAGACCAAGAACCCCCTTCACATCCCTTTTGAGCGATTCGTTGAATGTGCCTGTCTCGTTCATAAACCTTTGAAGCACATCTATATGTCCAAAAAAAGGAATGGTAAGGTAAATTTTGGTGCATCAACATGATTTAAAGAGGTTAACTAGTTGGTGACTACCTTGCTGTACGTTGTATCCATGTTGTCTGAGTAGCCGGAATCGAAGGGAAGCGGGATAGAGATCATCTGAAAGCTGAGCATCTTCGATGTTGTTATGGATGGAACCAAGAGCGTTCTTGATCTCTGTCTCGAAATGATATCCTAGTCCCAGTCTTTGAACCCCGTCAACGAGCTCGAGTTTTGCCACCTGATTCATCTCCCGGTCGAATAGACCCTTGACTTCTTCCTTCAACCTTCGGACTTGCTCCGTATATATATCCTCCTAGGCACATGAAAAGCTCAGCAAAATGAGATCTTAATCAAAGTCAATACACAAGCAGACTTCAATATTGCCTCCCGTATGGAAACAGTTCGATTCTCACTTTATTTGCAAAAACATTTGAGTAGGCACGGTTGAGCTCGTGTCTATATATTGAGAATATGCTATTTCGACCAGGTTTATTAATAGGTTTATTAATGTCTCCAATAGAATGTTGATGGGGTTGGTCGTGTATTTGATAGAGTGGCAGTGGATGAATGTGTAAATTGATGTTTCATATCTCGAACGTCGTATATAAATTATATACAGAAGTACATAAGAAGTAAACATCCATATATCTAATTCAAAGGACGAATTTTCTTTTGGTTGTGTCTTTTTTGTATTGGTGGACTCATCCCATTAAAGTACATAAAAATAGGGAAAAAGTGTACATTTGGTTGCTTTACTCAGATTATTTTTGTAGTCAACGTGGTCATTGAACTTAAAATTTGCACAATCAAGCTCTTGAACTTAGAGAATTTCTGTTCGACCAAAAAAAATAAACTTCGAGAATTTCTATCCTTCTGTGCTGAAAAAAAGAAGAAAATCATTACCGTGTAATCAACACCGAGTGATTGCACAAAATCATAGTCCCAAACGCTCGGTTTCCAATTCGCCGAACGTCTCGCAATCTCTTGATCTTCAATCTTCAAACCGCATGTCGCGAATCGAGGACCGGAGGACGCAGCGGAGGAGGAAGAGGAGGAGGGTTGGCTATGGTGAATTGAGGAGGGAAGGAAGCTTGCGACCAAAGAAGGAAGAGCCATTGCGAAATCTGTTGCCAGACTCTGAGTGTGCTAACCATCCATTATATAGGTGTGCTGCGGTGCATCCATAATGAAAAAAGTTTGTAGCTGCTTTGGGAGCAAATTTTTCTACTTACTCGGGCCATCCTCTAAGCATTGCACTTTATTGTTTCTACATGCAGAGTCATACTGACCCTGTTAGTACGACCCCCTCATGGCCGAGAAAATATTGGGTGCCACTAGGGATTCCACCGTGGAGAAATAACAACTCTGGCGTGGCGACACGTGTCCGAGAGGACCCACATGTCAGGAAGGCTCTCCCACGGCGCTGAGCTTAGCTGAGCTGAGCTGAAGCTGGGAGAAATTTTTTTTAAAAACAGCCCTCTCTCTCCACACTCCCTCTCTCTCTTTCGCGCTCCCCATATGCTCTCCGCTCTGCGCTCCGTCTCCCTCACCCGCTTAGGCACCCCATCCACGAACGACGCTTCGCTCCCATCCCATCCTACGCTTCTTGCTGGCCACTCGCCGCACTTCCTTCGCCGCTCGTCGCTCGCCGCCTTGGCCGCTTGCCGCGCTTCACCGCCGCTCGCCGCGCCTCGCCACCCGTCGCTCGCCGTGCCTCGCCGCCCGTCGCTCGCCGCCCCGGCCACTCGCCGCCCTTCACCGCTCGTCGCTCGCTGCTCGTCGCGCTTCGCTTCGTCCCCCTTATCCTCATCTTCACCACAGGGAGGAAGAACTTACTTCAAGCGCTAGGGTTTAGGCATGTTCACGAAGGTAATGTATTCGTTCGGATTTTCATGATTTTTCTTGGGGGTTTTTGTGTTTGTGTCTGCTCGTTGCCCTGCCACCATAAGTTTTATGATAGTTTCTGAAAATAGCTGAGAGGGTTGATTGTGGTAGAACAGAGGGTGGTTCATGGCTACATCTTGAGTACTGCATCTTGTGGGTTTTTCGTTGACGTGGTATGAGCTATACACATGTTACGCGACTTAAGCCAGATTCAGGGGAAGCTCAATTGATTGACCCATCTGCCTGTGACTTCATGTGTGATTAGATGCTATGCTTATTTGGTGCATCTTCTTGTCTGCATACTATGTTTCATCCTATCCAGTGCTGGGTTATCAGTCTAATGTCTTTTCTAAGACTAGATGAATTCGGTCACTGCACGGAGAAGATTTTAGGATTGACCTTTTCACAATATGTTCTGTCTAGAAGAAAATAAACTGGTGAAATCTACCTTATGCTGTATTACTATTATTAGGAGTATGCTCGTTTGACGTATGAGGAACTTAAAATTCTCACGTTAGCATCTCGTCTGATATAATCACCTGTCATTTATGTGACCATACTGCTTAATGTTATCAAAAAGATCTACTAGTAAAGGAAAATGTTCAATGCTTTAGTTGGACAATACTGCTGCAAAACTTTGCTGATTTTAGAGGAGTTGGTTCTTCAATAGTTGAGGAATTGTACATTTTAATGATAGCACCTGATGTGAGATGATTGTCATACAAATATGCAAGCAAACACTGCCAAATTTCGGTTGTCAAAGAGAGTTGCAAAGAAAATCAAGTTTTGCTATTTTAGACTCTTTTGTTCAAGGGTATTGCTGTTAGACTGTGCTGGCTTTGGCTCTTTCGTGTATTACAATTTCCAAATAAATTCGCATCCATTTTTTCAGGACCACTGAAAAGAGCCACACATGTATAGGATTGTTTGATTTTTAATTATTCCAAGAATGACATGCTTCCATAATTAAGGTATTGTGTAAGAAAGGAAGTTGTCAAGAAAGTAAGTGCTTAGCAAATTTTGTATTGTCATTAAGTTCATCAAGTCCTCACGACATGGAAATAGAATACACATCCTGTTCGTTTGGTTACTGGATGATCTAATGCTTGTCGAAAATATGCGTAAGAAGCGAAAGTGCGTAAGAAGCGTTATCCTTCTTCCAATGGGATAAACAATTGTGGATCAAAAAGAGTAAATTAGAAGACAGAGCACGCAGCGAGTATGCAGGGGGTCTCCTTCATAATTGAATGATTCTCTTGAAGTCTCTATACTCACTTTATAAATGACCTAGCAAATTAAGGTTTTGCGCTGTAGTTAATGAAAATTTTGTATTTATTTGGCATGGCGCTTGAACTAATAATTACAAGGAGATTGAAAATCTGACTTATTTAATTATGTTTGTTGGGATACAGGGCGGACAGTTGGCTGCTATAAATCTTGTATCTCGTGCGGCCTTGCTTGCTGCAAAGAAGGTGATGACATTTGAATTTGCAGACACACTGGAAAGTTATCATAGTGCAACAACGCATGGTCATTTACTCCATAGATATTTTATCAAATGCGAACTCATGATTATGTTTTTGCGTGATTGGTTTTGGCAAATACTAGCAAGGCACGTAGCAATAGAAATTTTACTTTCGGCTGGTAAAAGAGAATTTATGTATAGGTTGTTAACTGTGCTTGTAGTACTGCATCGACTATTTGGAAAGAGTTGGTTTCTTCCACTGACCATAAATCATCGAAGGTTATGCGTGTAAACAATAGCTCACCAAGGAGGTATTACTCGATGTAATTCACATCGTGTTCTGAGAGTGAGCTTGCTTTTGTTACTATCTGGGTCTTTGTTAAAAGTAAAATAAGGAAGGAAGTTTTCTTTTTTGGGGGTCTAGTACAGAAGATGAGCTACATTATGTTTAGTGGTGCGAGTGTGTTGAGGTTGTTCTATTCTGTGTTTGCCTCAGGACTCTGAAGAAGAATGGTTTTTCCGGGTTCTGCTCTTGTTGGGTTCCTTTGCCTGACTTAGAGTTGAAGTGTATTGCTTGGTGGGTGTTTGTTTACCCGCGATTTGAGGTTGAGCTTGGATTTACAAATTACAAAATAGGTGGATTTGAGGTTGAGCTCCGATTTGCCTAGGCGTTGACTCCCACTTAATTGACACTAACGCCGCCTCCGACGAGCAAGGTCCTCCGCTGCCCACGAGCAACGTCCGTCACCTCCCACGAGCGAGGTATATTTTAGATCGTGATGTCTTTTTTCCTCATGTATATTTTCATTCACGACATTTAGTTGACATGAGTGTGCTTGTCAAAGGGCTTCTCAGTAGTACAGGTTGGGATGAGCTTGTTTATGTTTGGCAACATGGGACTGATCCTAGAGCTCCTTCAATTAGTATAAAAATTTCATTTTTTGGGGTCCCCTCATTGAGCTGTGTCAACTTGGGATCAGGATTCTGAATGGCCAAATTTGAAAGTGTAATTGTCGTTCTGCGGTTTATCTTGGTAAATGACTCGCAAATAATTAGACTGTAAGTTAGATTCAATAAAGCAGGGAAAATTTCTATTTGCATTATCAGAATGGTGAGTTTGCACTTGTTATGTTCACATTGTATGGTATAGCATTAGTGATGGTTCTCCTGTGTTTGTTTATTGCTGTGATTGTTTAAACTGAGCTTTCTAGTCTTATTATAAGGATCTAGTTGCTGTTTCTGTTGCTGTAGTGAAATTTGTGTCTCGATTATGAATTTTCCGTGTTGCTCGGTTTGATCAGGGAAAGACCATGTAGTTGCCTCTTCTTTGTCATGCAAGGATGAGGTTGACTTTCAATATTATAGTTCCTTTGTTTGGTTAGTGCAGCATTCTTTGATACTTCTCACTTTATGGTCACTCTTTCCAACCTGTAAATCACCTGTTCCGAGCGTGGGAGTTCCAACTTCTTTGACAAAATAGTTCTGGTGCTTGTCTCAAAACATTGTTTCTTTGTTAATTGTGTTTTCTGAGCATTTGAAATGATTTGAAAGTGTCATTTTAATGCCTCTCTCTGAGGTGCATATTATCCCATCAAATAAAAGAAGTATTTTTGTTAGTGTGTGAAAGATCGTGAGTTAGTATAGAGTAGATGTCTCGACATTCCTGTCAATAAGTCGGCATGGACTGAGCCGCTGATAACTAGTACTTATTTATACTTTCTTGGTGCCGAATGGATCAATATTTGCCCCTTAGCTTGCTGCTCGCCTTGTGTTTGAAAAAATGCCTAAGCCAAATCTGTTGAGTGTTTGAGGTTTTGACGTTGCTAGATCGAATGGACCGAATGAATAGGGTAGTGCTAGCGTAACTCGATACATCACAATGAATGACGTGCTGTACTTTATCTGGTGGCTTCCGAATGAATGGTGTGTTGTGGCTAGAATTTGTTGTTGTGGGGGGAGGGGGTCAGATGTTCATTAAAATTCCCCAGAGAAAATTGAGTTGAATGTCTCACCGGATAATCATCTTTTGTGAATGTGTACTAGAGATGACGACAGTATATTAGAGATGATGTGGAGAGGACCTTGAACGAGTGGACTAATTCTGTACCTGCACTGGTGTTGCATAGGGTCCTGCTTCATTCATGGTTGAACATAATTTGTGAGAGTGCTTTTCCTGCTTTATAATGGTGTGTGATGACGTACTGCTAGTTTGGTGCATCAACTAGACTCTATATCTAATTGTGAATCGCATTGAAACAAATTTTTTTTCCATTTGAGCAGTTCATGGTAGTTTTGTCCGGAGAATTCTGTGGTCTCCTAATGAAAATGCGCCCTCACTTGAGTGCGTATGCTTGAAAAATTCCTTGTTTTACTTGGTTATCCATCAAAACACTTGGGTAAGAATAGTCCTCCTTACTTTTTTGGAATATGACTTCCACTTTTTAAATTAGGAAGTTGTTTTCCTTAGTTTTGAACTTGGCAGTATCGCATGAATTGTCACTCGCTGTTCAGTGTTTGAGCTCCTTAGAATGAATGGTAGTGCATCACATTTCAGCCCCTTGCATTAAATCGATGTCACCCTTCATGCTCATTTTATCATGATGGCAATTTTTTCGGATACTGTCATCTCTAACTTTACATATACGGTAGTGGCTTGCTCATGTACATAAATTTTCCATGGATGACAACCTCCATTTGAAAAAAAAAAAAAAAGCCCAGCTGTGTTGCATATATGTATCGTGCGTGCGTAGTTTCTACATTATAGTTTTGGATGTCTTTTCTGATAATGAACTCCACATTCTAGTTTTCTGAGCATATACATGAGTATGGACATCCGTAACAATTGATATACATCTATTTCTCGTCAAGTAGGGTCATTACTGAACTTAAACCTGCTGGAATTATCTTTCAAGCTTGCTGGTTGGGACTGTTTTAGTGTCATTTTAATCCCAATTTGGTATCAATTTGGGTGCAAATTTATCGGATGGCTGAATCAGAGGTAATTATTTGCTCATACTATGTGAAATATATTTTTCTTAAACCACCGCGTTGATAACTTTTTGTTCTTTTAGTTGCAGCATGAAACTTCCCATCTTGCACACGTAATGCGTGATATGGAAAAAGATTATGAGTTTGCGGTAGGAATGGTTTTTCCAAATGAACTTGAAGCATACGATAAGTATGTGGCCTATGCAATCGGCAAAGGATTTGGGGTGAGAAAGGGTAATATGTTCAAAAATGGTAAAGGAGAATTAACCCGACGAACTTTTGTGTGCCATTGTGAGGGGCATTCTGTCAGCTCATCTGATCAAGAAAAGAAATTTGAGAGGTATGAAGTTAGATATGGCTGTCCTGCTCGTATCAAATTTAAGGTTAACAATGGTGTCTATGAAGTCATGAAGCATATTTCTGAGCATAATCATGCATTTATTCCGGATGATCAAAAGCATTTGATTAGATGTGGAAGAATCATGTCTGATACTTCTAAGAGTGTCTTAGTTGACATGAGGAAAGCCGGCATTGGAGGGACTACAGCGTATAAGTTTTTAGCAAATGAAGCTGGAGGAAGCAAAAACTTGGGTTTTAACCTGCGTGATTGTCAAAATTATTTGCAAACGAAAAGATCCGATGGTATAAGTGGGGGAGATGGTCAAAGTGTTCTAAATCATTTTCATCTCATGCAAATGCAAAATCCAATGTTTTCATATGATGTACAGGTAGATCAAGATGGTAGATTGACAAATTTATTTTGGAGAGATAGCATGTTGAAATTTGATTATGATTGCTTGGTGATGTTCTAGTGTTTGATACCATATATCGTACCAACAAATATAACATGATATGTGCACCATTTATTGGGATTAATCACCATTGGAAGAATGTTTTTGTTCGGTTGTGCATTTTTGTTGGACGAGACTGCAGAATCATTTATATGGTTATTTGAGGCTTTTTTGAAGTCTATGGGAAATAAGGCACCGAAAACCATATTCACTGATCAAGACCAAGCCATGGCAAAAGCCATTAGAACGGTATTTCTGAATACACAACACCGTTTATGTACTTGGCACATCGGGAAAAATGCCAACCAAAACATCCCACATCTTTACCATAAGCCGGGTTTTAAGAATACATATTTCTTAGCGCTTATGTATAGATGTACATCGGAGGAAGAATTTGAATTTACTTGGAGGGAAATGGAAAAGGAGTGGGATACTGCGAATAACACTTGGCTTCGGAGATTATACGACATTAGACACAAATGGAGTTTAGCTTTTGGTCGTGACATTTTTACATGTATATGATCCAGTCAATGGAGTGAGAGCACCAATAATGTCTTCCAACGAATGTCGACGAAGACATTGACTCTTGTAGAGTTTGTCCACCACTATGAAGAACAAGTGAAGCACATGAGAAATTGAAACTCAAGATGATTTCAGTAGTCGAGGGAATCCGAAATTGGCAATTTTGGGTAATGACATCTTGACGCATGCTTCATGTCACACCCCGAACCCCACGATGCGCAACATCCCTCGCAAAGGTCGAATTTGCTGCAACGTCCCAGGCCGCGTCGCCGACCCAACTCCCAACACAGAGCATAAGGCACATGCGGAAGCGATAATTAAAACACCCGTACAAAGCAATACATGACCAAGGGTAGCAGGAACATCGAACAATTCAAAGCCTAATAATCAAGACTTGCATTGAACTTCAAAACATATACAATGTCCACTATACACCAATACAAGTCGCCAAACAAAAGCGGGTCGACGGCTACTACTAACAAAATCCCTAAGTGGCTAAAGGGGCAGTCTAAGGTGGGGCTATAATCAAAAGGGGTTACTGGCCCGACCTAAGGGAGGCTAAGGCTGATCCTAGGAAACTTAATCGGGATCAGATCCTGATGACTCGGACTCAGCCTCGATTATTTCATCCTCTGAATCCATCTGCTCGACCTCGCCAACCTATTCGGGTTCCTGCTTTATGGGCTCCGGATTCTCATATGGATCGGGTACACCAGGCAATCTCTATCAGGAGTCTGAAAAACGGGGTTTAAACAACTATGAGACGAATCTCAGTGAGTAGGCCTCCTAAATCGAAATTAGGTTAACATGCACCTCCCGACAAGCAAATCAACACAACAACGGACAATAATGTCAATCAAATGACCTAGGCCCTTGAGTCCGGTTCGCTTACGTTGCTGACCCTGCAGGTTAAACAGTTCGACATAAAAATCACGGCACATACGTGGCACACATTTTCACACGTATGCCATACTCGAAGTGTTCATCTCGCATGCCATTCACCAAGTCTTGCACACTCGCACACTGGCCCATGCATTCTTATGCATGCAAATGTCATCATCATGCCATGTTTCGTTCTGGCTCACACTGCACACTGGCATACAGCTCATTTTTAATTAGAAATCGACCCGAAGGCTCACAACACTCCACGGCCAGCGTAAAAACGCCCCAGGCCCAGTGTCTCTAGCCTGCTACAAAGTGCATGAGGCGCAATACCGATCTCCTTACGAACCAGAGCCTGCTACAAAGTGCATGAGGTTGGTCGTCTTCCGGACATACCGGGCATCGTCCTACTACAAAGTGCATGAGGACGGCACGACCCGAAGGCCAATAAGTGATCACATGGCACACTGCTAATTTTTATCTGAACCCCGCGTAAAACGCATCAGGGTATAATTAGGTGATCACATGCTCATGGCAGACACGCATTCTCGCACAATTTCGTCACATGCCTCACACTAGGCATACACAATGCGTGGCCATGCAATGTCGTATAATGCAACATGAGCATTCAATTTCAGCACGGCATTTCAACAAACATGCCAAATCAACGTGCTCAAATAGCCAATCAATTGCCCATTCTTATTCGCATAACATGCGCACTTGGCCAACTAGTACCATGTGGCCCAAAACATAATTTACGCACTTGGGCAATAAACATTCACACCAATGATTGGCCAAACACACACCGCGTTGCTCGAACACGAAATCAGGCGGCATGGCATTAAACAACTGAGCACGACAAAGTACCATTCAACCACCGAGTCGCTCAAACGAGGCACCACAAAATTTAACACAATCAAGCACAATTTGTACCCAAATCAACCACTAATCAGTCCGAGAGAGAGAAAAACTGGAAATATGCAAAATCGGGTCCAAACTGGGCAGTTGCACAGTGACAGAAATCCATTTGAAATAAATGGTAAATCAATTCTAAAAATTATGAAATTTGGATATGTTGTACAAAACATCTCGATGAACATTTTCCGTGGAGAACTAGAAACCCAGTTCTAACCATAAACACCTCGTTTTGACACTCCAAGTCGGACAAAATCCGATTCGCTCGGACAGCCCGTCAGGCCAGAAAAATACAACTCATTCAGTACCCAAATCATTTTGGAAAGCCTTGAAATTTTTATATGTTATAGCCACAAATGTCCCCAACAATTTTTGAGAAGGAAGTATTTTGAAAATAGGCCTAGAAAAATTTATAAAAAATTCGAACAGACCAGAAGGTCGGGTGAACAGTAAATCGGGCAGTTTTGTTTCGGTCCAAAGATGGACTTCCGAATGGCCTCAAATGATTTCCAAAAATTCCCAAATTAAAGTATGTTATACTTAAAGATGTTGGGAACAACTTTCATGAAAAACACTTCTTCACATTCGGCCCACAATGATCACAATAAAAATAACAAAGCGCAGAGGTACAGTAAAATTAGTAATCCGAGAATCAGTAACTTGCACCATTAAGCAAATCCAACTCATACAACCTCTAAATCAAGTCTCCACAGCCTTAAAACCATCCTTAAACCATCACCTTATGCCCTTAAAATCACCACAACATCAGCCCAAATCAGCCCCCACCAATTACCCCTAAAACTTGTCCAAAGTGCACATAATCCTAATTAAGGGTTAGGATTTCCACTCACCTATTTACACTCCCCAAAATTCTAATCGACGGGAACAGGCGGCCGATTGCCGGTAAACGGCGAAATCGGCGGCGGCGTTCCGGCGGCTCACGGCAGAGGTTCTGGTCAGTGAGGGTGGTGGCGGCGAACGGCGCTCCTCTCGCGCGCGACGGCACTCCGACGAGCGGCTCCTCTGGCGGGGGCCTCTCACGGCCAAACCAAGAGGAAAATGAAAGAGAAGAAGTGGCGTGGGAGGGGAGATGATCGGCTGATGGGGGAAGAAATGGGAGGAGAGAGAGAGAGTCAAAGGGGTCTTATGGGTCAAAAAGTGGCGCCACGTGTCGCAATCCGGTGCGTTGGACCATTTTGCCATTTGATCCAATGGCCATTAATCACTCTCATCCAATAATTGAGGGCCCTTTTGGTCATTCAAAAATTCTGAATTTTTGACTCATAATTATCCACAATAAATTCCCAAAAATTGCCAAAATTCGGAACCCAAAAATGGGCCATAAGGGCAAAACGGTAATTTTCCGGTCCCGGGTCGAAATTTCATTTTTCGACCGTATCGACCCCAAATGTGTGTGGTCAACATAATATGATATCGGATTCGCAAAAATAACCTTTTAAGCCCTCGAAAATCGATTGCAAAGTTTGGAGGGGCAAAATAGTAATTTTTTCACTTCTGGGCCGAAATTTCAATTTTCGATCGTAACTACTCTAGATATGCGTGGCCACCCTAAAACGGCATCGGTCTCGAAAAATAATCTCATATGGCCTCGAAAATCGACGTCGGAGTCCAAAGGGGTAAAATCGTAATTTTTCCAATTTCGGCCGAAATTCCAATTTTCAGCTGGACTAGCCCCAAATGTATGTGGCCACACCAAAACGATGTTGGCCTTGCAAAATAGTCGTAAACACCCATAGAATTTCGACATCGAAGTTCGGGTCCAATTTGGCGATCAAAATTGCTCAATTCAGAATTTTAGAGTCTCTTATTGACGGGTGGCTATTTAGGGGTTACGCGTATCGACCTAGGGTCACTCGAGTTGTGACTGTCTCGATTACCGGGATAGCGCAAGGAATTATTGATTATTCCAGGGGTCACGATCGTTCGGTTCAGGTTCGGGATTTATTTGCCATGCGCACTCTCGGTCCAGCGGAATCACCCGTGATCCGATCGTACGTCGTTGGCCAAATCAGATCCGTCACCTTCCTAGAATCGGTCCACACTGGCCCAAAATACTTCCCTGTTGTTTCTCGGAATCGGCGCCCGATTCGCGATCGGGTCCCCGATCCACGTACTGTTTTCCTAGTTAGCCTTTCCCATTGGTCAGTATCCCGCGAGGGGCCAGCTCCGGGCGAGACGTACTAAAATCAAATGAGAAATAATATCCACTTCGTCGGATCCCGAAAATAGGTCGAAATTCAGGATGTTACACTTCAAAAGTGTATACCCGTACCATTTTTAAATAGTTTAATGATGAATTCATGCAAAGTGTCTCTCAACGTATTTCAAGTGAAGCATTTGATGGATCGGTTTATATTTTTACTGTCAAGTTAAATGGGAAGTTAAATGGGAGTGGAAATGTTGTCAAATTTGACCCTGCAGACTCTTCAGTTTCTTGTGATTGCAAATTATTTGAATTAAAAGGGTGGTTGTGTTGCCATGCGTTGAAAGTGTTGAGTGAGAAATAATCGGTTATGGGTGTTCCATCTCCCTATATTTTGAAAAGATGGACTAAGGGTGCCAAACAAGGGATTGTGAATGATGAATCTTATGAAATGGCACTGGGTTCATCTAAATTTAATCGATTTTCCACGTTAATGCATCAATCCTTTGAAATGATGAGTTTGGGAGCCGAAGATGCTGATACTATGAGAATAGTGAAGGAGGACATGGAAAAAACGAAGGCTAAACTTTTATCACATAAATCGAGTATGGTTGTGACTGATGATGCTGGTAATGATGATGATAATGAGGCTTCTGTGTGCAACATTTCGGCATTGGACCCGCATCGAAGGAAAGCAAAGGGAATAAGTTATGGGAGGCTTAAAAGCTCAAGTGAGAAAAAGAAGAAAAAATCTAAGGAACGAGCACCTCCAACACGAATAGAAAGTCAAGGTGAGTGGCATATTATTCTACTTAATATGATTAGTTAAATTTATTGCTTATGTCACATGATGCCAATAACATATTTATTACTTTGTAATGTAGAGTTGGTTGTTCAAGCAACACAAGATGGAGCTCATTTCCCAGATTATTTGCATAATTCAAATCAGTTTCAAAGTGCCTTTTATCCTAGCAATATTGGTGGTCCTAGAGTAAATCTAAATTTTCATAATCAGGTATATTGCTCGTAGTCTTTCAGTTGTATTTACATTTTACTAATTTGGTCAAATTTTTTTTGTGGATGTAGCAGCCACCATACATCATGCCGCCGGAGATTATGAGTGGATTTTGTCCATTCCCCAGTCAGGTATTTAATAGCTGAACTTATCGGATACATGAATGAGAATAATCTTGCAAAACAAATTAGTAGTGACAAATTTATTATATGTAGATGCAATCACAATACACCATGCTGCCAGGGATTATGAATGGAATTTCCCCATTCACTAGTCAGGTGCTTATTATGAAATCATTTTAGATCCTAGTGTTATTTCACCTTATTATTACCATTGTAATATTTATTGTTAATGGTTTCTTCTGCATAGATGTTGGAGTATCATAATAGATCTCATGGAACCATTTTGAGTCAGGTACAACTTGCTTTTTTTTATTCAACACTTATTTGAGACAGTTATCTTGGCATTTGTTTAGTAAAATGTAAATAAATTGGTTATTCCTTTGTGCAGGGGTCATCAAACTCTTTTCAGCATCCTAGGGTGAATGAGTTGAACGACTCTGAAGGAACATAAATCAATTGGCTGAAGTAACTCATAATTTTGTCTCTCTCTAGGAGGAGGAGGAGGAGGAACTCTCCCTCTCTTTTATGTACAGGCTTGAATTTATAGCTTGTTGTGGATGAGCTCGACTTCGATTCCCGCCACTTCTCATCAAGAAGAGGTAAAAGAGCTTGACCTTGAAATTTGAAGCAGTTACCTTCGGGTTGGTAATAGGGGTCATCTAAATTATTAATGTTACGGGAGTTGTTATTGTGATATTTTCCTTTTTGTGAACGAACATCACTTCGTTGTAGACATTTGGATGATTTGTCCTTGCTGTTAACTCTGAATGTTTGAAACATTTCCATGGCTGATTGAAGAGAGACTTCTCTTTGGACATGTAATGTCCATCTCCATTATCATTGGACAGTATGCAGCTGTGGATCTACTTTTGTTAATTTATATGTAATTGCAGGACACTATTCTGCAGCTGGAGTTCCAAGGTGTGAGAAAGCAACTAAAAGTACAAGTTTGTAAATCTTAAAGCCTTCAGAAATTTTGGTATTTGGACTTTTTCAGACTTGACATGTATGTACACCAAGGCCAGTTGCATCAAGGCTTGCTGCAGATACCCATCTGCTTACTGGTCAGGTAACAGATTGAAAGTTTCATTCCAGATCGTGATGTCTTTTTTCCTTTCGCATATTTTCATTCATGACATTTTCAAATTCATGGGGGCAGAGCGAGTAAGACTTTTGCGCTGATGTTGAACTTTTGTTCAGCTTGCTTATGTCGAGGGAGGAGGGGATGAATGAAAGTTGCTTCCTTTATCAGCGGAATAGAGCTAAACTATTTTTTTTTCTGATTTGTTTGTAAATTTTGAAATACTCAACTTTCTAAAGTTGATTGCAAATATCCGTTGTTTCCATCTGCTAGAGTTCAAGTGCAGTCATCTGCTTACAATGTTATTTAACTCTGTCGAACTGAAAAGTGGTGGCCATGAGACCAAATGACTGGACGATGTTGCAAAGAGTTAAGATGAGTAACATTAAGCTCTCATTATTGCAACACTCACTGTCAAATGCAATTCAATCACAAGATCCATAATTGGTTGCTCTGGCTTAGGCTAAGATATTCTTGTATTATATCTCAGATAGAAAACCTCCTTTCTTGGATGGAAGAGTAGTTTTTACTGAACAAGCTGAGCCTATAATGCCGCTCAAAGATCCGACGTCAGATATGGCTATAATCTCAAGAAAAGGTTCTCCTCTGCTCAAGGAGATTCATGAAAAACAGAGTATGAATAAATCGCGCCACCGCTTTTGGGAGCTTGCTGGCTCAAAACTTGGAGATATTCTTGGTGTTGAGAAATCATAAGCCGATGTCATGTGTTTTGCAAGTTTGAATGACGGTGTCCTCTCTCTCTCTCTCTCTCTATTTTCAGATTTAGGGTTTAAATTCAGAATTTTGGAAATTTTTCGCTACGAAGTCCGATTTTTGAGTTGTTGAGCTACGCATTTTTATAGAATTGGTAGTTTAGGGTGTCGTGGAGCTGTGGGATTTTACGGATCTTGATTTGGACTTACCGTTTACCCGAAAACGAATTTTTAAAGTTTTCCGCGCGAAGTGAACAGTGCACGTCCGGCAGCCTTCAGGCCATATTTCTCTGCGAAATCCGATTTGTGAGTCGTTGAGCTGCGCATTTTTGTAGAATTGGTAGTTTAGGGTGTCGTGGAGCCGTGGGATTTTACAGATCTTGATTTGGACTTACCGTTTCCCCGAAACAAATTTTTGAAATTTTCCGCGCGAAGTGAACAGTGCACGTCCGGCAGCCTTCAGGCCATATTTCGCTGCGAAATCCGATTTTTGAGTCGTTGAGCTGCGCATTTTTATAGAATTGGTAGTTTAGGGTTTCGTGGAGCCGTGAGATTTTACCGATCTTGATTTGGACTTACCGTTTCCCCGAAACAAATTTTTGAAATTTTCCGCGCGAAGTGAACAGTGCACGTCCGGCAGCCTTCAGGCCATATTTTGCTGCGAAATCCTATTTTTGAGTCATTGAGCTGTGCATTTTTATAGAATTGGTAGTTTAGGGTGTCGTGGAGCCGTGGGATTTTACGGATCTTGATTTGGACTTACCGTTTGCCCGAAACAAATTTTTGAAGTTTTCCGCGCGAAGTGAACACTACACCTCCGGCAGCCTTCAGGACATATTTCACCGCGAAGTTCGATTTTTGAGTCGTTGAGCTGTGTATTTTTGTAGAATTGGTAGTTTAGGGTGTCGTGAAGCCTTGGGATTTTACGGATCTTGATTTGAACTTACCGTTTGCCCGAAACGAATTTTTGAAGTTTTTCGCGCGAAGCGAACAGTACACGTCCGGCAGCCTTCAGGCCATATTTCGCTGCGAAGTTCGATTTTTTAGTCATTGAGCTGCGCATTTTTATAGAATTGGTAGTTTAGGGTGTCGTGGAGCCGTGGGATTTTACGGATCTTGATTTGGACTTACCGTTTGCCCGAAACAAATTTTTGAAGTTTTCCGCGCGAAGTGAACACTACACCTCCGGCAGCCTTCAGGACATATTTCACCGCGAAGTCCGATTTTTGAGTCGTTGAGCTGTGCATTTTTGTAGAATTGGTAGTTTAGGGTGTCATGAAGCCTTGGGATTTTACGGATCTTGATTTGAACTTACCGTTTGCCCGAAACGAATTTTTGAAGTTTTCCGCGCGAAGCGAACAGTACACGTCCGGCAGCCTTCAGGCCATATTTCGCTGCGAAGTCCGATTTTTTAGTCATTGAGCTGTGCAATTTTATAGAATTGGTAGTTTAAGGTGTCGTGGAGCCATGGGATTTTACTGATCTTGATTTGGACTTACCGTTTGCCCGAAACGAATTTTTGAAGTTTTCCGCGCGAAGTGAACACTACACCTCCGGCAGCCTTCAGGACATATTTCACCGCGAAGTCCGATTTTTGAGTCGTTGAGCTGTGCATTTTTGTAGAATTGGTAGTTTAGGGTGTCATGAAGCCTTGGGATTTTACGGATCTTGATTTGAACTTACCGTTTGCCCGAAACGAATTTTTGAAGTTTTCCGCGCGAAGCGAACAGTACACGTCCGGCAGCCTTCAGGCCATATTTCGCTGCGAAGTCCAATTTTTTAGTCATTGAGCTGCGCATTTTTATAGAATTGGTAGTTTAGGGTGTCGTGGAGCCATGGGATTTTACGGATCTTGATTTGGACTTACCGTTTGCCCGAAACGAATTTTTTAAGTTTTACTCGCGAAGCGAACAGTACACGTCCGGCAGCCTTCAGGCCATATTTCGCCGCGAAGTCCGATTTTTGAGTCGTTGAGCTGCGTATTTTTATAGAATTGGTAGTTTAGGGTATCGTGGAGCCATGGGATTTTATGGATCTTGATTTGGACTTACCGTTTGCCCGAAACGAATTTTTGAAGTTTTATGCGCGAAGCGAACAATACACGTCCGGCAGCCTTAAGGCCACATTTGGCCGCGAAGTCCGATTTTTGAGTCGTTGAGCTGCGTATTTTTATAGAATTTGTAGTTTAGGGTGTCGTGGAGCCGTGGAATTTTACGGATCTTGATTTGGACTTAACGTTTGCCCGAAACGAATTTTTGAAGTTTTACGCGCGAAGTGAACAGTACACGTCCAGCTGCCTTCAGGCCATATTTGGCCGCGAAGTCCAATTTTTGAGTCGTTGAGCTGCGCATTTTTGTAGAATTGATAGTTTAGGGTATCGTGGAGCCGTGAGATTTTACGGATCTTGATTTGGACTTAACGTTTGCTCGAAACGAATTTTTGAAATTTTCCACATGAGATTTTACAGTAATCAGTAAGCTTAGAGTTACGGTAATCAGTAAGCTTAGAGAGAGAGAGAGAGAGAGAGAAAGAGAAAGAGAGAGAGAGTAAATGGCTATAAAGATGCAAAAAAAAAATTCTGTAGACTTAATGCCAAAAGGTCTGCTTGTTTCAAATAATTTCACAAACTTAATTCTGAGCCTTCCTATAGCTTCTGTTTTCCCTAACATTGCTAAGATAAAAATGATGTGCCAAAATCGGCATCAACTCAATAGAACGACATGGAGTCGGAGAAACGCTATACTAGAGAAAATGTGAGTGAAAAAGAAGAAAAAAAATCTAAGCTAAGACAATGCTTCATACGGTCGACTTCACGTAACTCGCATCAGAGTCTCAATTTGGTCCTCCACATGTCTCCAATGACCATCTTAGGTTGCGGATTATCTGGCCCTCGATCCCGCTACCCCGATGTAAAGTACAACCAGCCGTCACAAAAGCTTGCGATTGCGGTTTTGACGTGGTAAGGAAGCTTCCCGATCACCATCCATTTCATACCACAAGCATATAGACGTCGCTATAGACTACCTGAAATAAGAAAGTTCCAAGTTTGAAGAATCAGCTCGAATGAAACATCATATGACACAAGCATGCATCTTTTGATAAGCTAATAAAATCAATGACCAGATGATGAGTAGCATGATCAGCAAAGAATGTATCTAAACATGTGAATGCCCCATTCTACTTGGTTCTGTAAGTAACATGCGAATGCCCCATTCTACTCGAACTAATTATCTCATATCTCAGCTCATATATATCAAAAGATTAACGCAAAATGCTAGAGCTGTCTCAGGAAACCACTGGTCCCAACAAATTGCTGACAAAGATAACAAAGTTGATCAACCTATCATATCTTAACCTTCGGCTTTGACTTATGGAATCAGCCTAAAAATGTTAAAGCTTTGCGGAGTCTACATTGGGACTTCTAGTTGCCATTACCTGCAATAGATCAGCTGCATAGTGGCGACTTCATTGACTTAGAGACCTCCTGCTCGTGATAAAAAAGTGAAGATGCTAATATTCAGTACCCGACTACTAAAAGTAGCATTTTAGCTTACAATATTGCCGGCTTACAATGTAATATGATGTACTCATCTAATCGAACAGTAACCAAATGAAACCACTGCAAGATGCTAACTCACCCAACATCCACAGAAGAGGCAGTAGTTATACTCATCTCTTAGCTTTATCAATACAGCCAGCAGATCCTGTATACAGCAGAAAGCAGTCATTCATTACTGTAGTGCCACTTTTTCCATGAGTCATACTAAAAATGATTCAGCAATGAACTTCGTGAACTGATGCTTATGCAACATTTTATATTCAAGGACTTTTTTTTTGGTCGTGATATTCAAGGACTTGAGAGAAATAACAAGAGGCAGATATCTGACAAATTTTTCACTACGGAATTTCAGTCACACAGATGAACTTCCGAAAGTTTGGAAGAGTTTTAAGATGAACTGCAAAGAAAGGCAAAAGCA